TTGCTTCCTCTCATTGTGTGATCTGCTTGTACCTGCCACTTTCCGTCATGAGTAGAAGCAGCCTGAGGCCCATGCCAGAAGCAACTGTCCCAGAATCGTAAGCCAAATAAACCTCTTTTCCTTATAAATTACCCAGTCTCAGGTAGTTCTGTTATAGCAACACAAAACAGACTAAAACAGCACATGTGCTTATTTACATCAAATACTCGGCAAGATTCTGAACATCTGAGGGGCCCTGACCGTTTTTCTATATTTTCCCAACACCTAGGATAAGAACAAAGAGTGATTAAGGTGGAACTCTGGGATAACTTTGGAACTGAAAAATCCTGATTATTGTGTTAGAAAGAATACCTAAAATCTGCATACCTTTTAATTACAAGCCTGCAGTTTATAGCTGATAGTTTTTTTCCCATTGGCCAAGTTGCTGTGTTCACTAAGCAGCAACTGCTCAGGTGAGGTGAGAATGATCATTACTGAAGAAATAAAGATCAGGTCCAAAGAGGAGAAACTTCACATACCTGCAGCAGCTGTGCAGAAACAAATCGGTGTAAGGTGACAAGCTTCTGGTATAAGAGGAGGGAGTGGTGGTGGTTCCTGGAACTTGTAGACCATGTGAGTATTTCCTTTGAGTGTTCTTAGGGTATTACAAGGAAATTGTCTTGGTTATCAAATAGTGTAGTGGGTAATTTCTTTTCAGAAAAAGAAATTAATTGGTTTTTAAAAAGTTGAGTAAAACAGACAATACTGACATTATTTATCTTGAAAGCCTTCTAATTGGACTTAAAATCTTCATGCTACTTTTAAGATAAAAAGCTTAGATTCCGTTGGTTCATTTATTCTTTTCCCTTCATTTATAACAACTGCAGAACATTTACTAAGAATTCAAAATTATGGTTACTGAATTTATACTCTTGGGGCTTGTGTATCATACTGAGATATGTATGTATCTCTCTGTGTGTATATTATACATATTATTTATGGAATATATGTCATAAATTATTTCTAAGTCAAAGTGCCTCAGCTTTATTAATGCAACTGTTTTCCTTAATGTTTAAGTTCAAGCCAACTAAAGTAAATATTCCAACATATCATTCACTCCTGAAAGAAAAGGCATTTAAGTAGGCAGGTGTTTTGTTTAAATTTTAACTACATCCTCTCTACCACCTGGAAGCTTTTTGTGTTATTACCACAGTCCTGTTTCGTTTGGACAGTTGTCTTGAGGAGTTGAGGAATTCTTGTAACTTCATGTTTAATTGCCCAAATGTATTTTAAAATGTCATTTCTTATTATAGAAACACCATATATTTACTGTAGAATATTTGAAAATTATAGGGAAGCATAATGAAAAAAAGCCATCCACAATTCTACTATCCAGCAATAACTATACCATGAAAACATCACCTATTAGCCTCCCCCCACCACTACAGAAATTGGTAACATATACATGGTCATAGGTCGTTTTCTTGCATTTAACAGTGTAGTGTTAATATATTTCCATATTATTAGATATTATTCCAAAACATGTTAATGATCACATAGTATTCTCTTACGTTTTACCAATGTTTAAGATTATTTTAAACTTTTTGCTACTGTAAATAATATTAATCCTTGTGCAGAAATATTTAACTCAACTTTGATTTTCTTAATGCAAATTAAGGAGATTGTAGTTACTGACTAAAAAGGCAGTGACATCTATAGGTATCTTGATACATTTTTGTTGAATTGCCCTCTGGAAACCTACTTGTTTGCACACACCTTAGCAAAGTA